TATGATGTTGTGCAATCATGTTATCGGTACAAATGTACTGATCATACATAATTATAGTATACTAGCTGAAAAATTGTGAATCTAAACCATTCTCAGATCCCCTTGAACACACACAAAAAATTTCATCAAAATCGGTCCAGTCGTTTAAGAGAAGTTCAGTGACATACACACTCACAGAAGAATTATATATATAAAGATAAAGCGAGGTTCAATCAACACTGCTTAAAAAAACACAGTTGATAAATTATCATACAAAGAGGTGTTTCGAAAATGGTTAATTTTAAACTTTTGCAATGCCTGTTTTCTGTAGGTAGTCAGTAAGAGCCTGACATAACCTTGCAGTCGGTTGTTGGGTATCCAGGATGGATTTTACAACCGCTCTCCCGCATGGGATGAAACAAAAAAAAGATACAACTTTTTCTCTGATTCTCTTTTCAGTAGTGAACAGTAAGTTTATGTTTTGTTTATATATATGAGTTCAATGGGATTGAAATTTATTGGTGTCCGCGAATTCGTGTGCCTGGTAAAATTATATCCCCACATAAACATCCACCTCTCTCCCTTTCAGCCACTTCTTATAGAATAATTTTTGTAATAAAAACTATTCTATGTCTTTTTCCGAGACTCAAACTATCTCTAAGTACCTATGTTAAAGGACATCCTCCACGTTTCATATTTTTTTTGTCCAAAATCAAAAGTGCCGACCAAAATCTGTCAATCAAAAAAGTGCTGTATTCTGATAGAACACGTCAGCCTTGGCATTTGTTACTATGGCACCAAAGCTGTAGCACCACTGTGCTTCGTAGTACTTGAGTTCCAAAATTTTCGATCAAAATTCTATATTTTTTTTCATTTTATCGATTGCACATATATCCCTAAAGCTATCCCCTTATCCCATATTGGTCCCGCATAACATCCTTCCACATCCAACTTCCTCCATTTTCTACATAGTTTCCTTAAGTGTATCCTTAAGCCCCTCGGGCATTATGGTACCCACTCATTGTTTTGGTTAATTCATTTGATCGAAAAATATACGAAATGTCAGATAAAGAGGTATTTACGTTGATGAAATGTGACAGTCCATTATCATTTCTTAATACGGCACCCAGGGCCGTCTTTAACCTATTGGAGGCCCGTGGCATATTAGGATAATGGGGGGGGCCCATTATCCTAATATGACTTTGATGTGGATTATGACTTGAAATAGAGCTAGTCATACTGATGAGTGTACTACTGATGATTTTTCTTTAAAACTATGTATGTGCTTAGAATGCCATTATATGTATATTCAAATTTATCTAAACATGCTGAAGTCGGAAAGCCTAATGAAAGAAAGGAAACAGGTGTCTGATGGCACCAAAGCTATAGTACCACTAATAGAAGTGCTACAGCTTTGGTGTCATAGTCACAAATGCTAAGGCCGACGTGTTCTATCAGAATACAGCACTTTTTTTGCCGGCACTTTTGATTTTGGACCAAAATAGAGGATGTCCTTTCATCTAAATCGGTTCAGCGGTTTATATGTGAATAGGTTACCGACCGACAGATCAGTATAGAGTTATTACTTAATGACTACATCTATTCTTTCATTTGATTCAACCAATGCCTGAGGTAGCGTCGTTAAAGTGTATCCATATGATTTACTAAATATCTTATACTTTGATACTCTGATGACCCCTCAAGAATTAAATTCAAATAACCATTATTTAGTGTCGGTGAGTAAGGTTCAAGGTTTCCACGAAGCAGAGAACAGAGGAAAAAAAAATAAAGCATAATAAATATAAATATGTATTATAAAAAAAACACTACTCATGAAAAAACTAATTTGTTCATTACATAAACAGATCCTTCTACCGGGATTCGAACCCAGGATGTTTGGAGCAAAAGGCAGTTAAGTTGATTTGCAGGGCGTAAATGAATTAAAGTCAAAATCATTTATATTTAGTTTAGGCTATTACTGTGCTCAGGTTACACACACTCATGAATGTCTAGAAGCTACACCATCGCTTCATAAATCTAGCATGAAAGACCTTGTAACTGAGAAGAACCGGTGAGAAATTCTCCAAGGGCCGTTTCTTTCTCCCTGTATTATTATATACTGAGTCGCCAAGTTGAAAAATTACTTCAGAGATAATTCTTTTCATTACATACCCAATGTGAAAAATACATTAATTGTTCAACTAAATTTTGACTGATGTGCCATACAAATAGTGTTATGAATGTAAACACAAAGTAATAAATCAGTCAAACTAAATTGTGATAAATGCAAACAAACCGTAAGGCTGGGCGCGTATCTATAGTTACCTAATCAGCAATTCCAATTCGGAGACCTGAATGCACGTCCTTACACACAAAATGTTCAACGAGGTGCATACTATTCATAATTTTTCAGAAATGGAAAAAACCCAACATCCGCTTCGGAAACTATCAATAATAAAAATACCGAAACGTCTGCGCTAGGCTCACGGAATTCCGAATCTGATTTCCTGATCAGGAAACTATCTTAAGCGCCCACCCAGCCATCAATGATTTCTTGACATATAAGTGCTTTTACCGTTTCATAATTATGCTTTGGCATCCTTTTAAACATGGACTAGCAGCAAGAAGACCAAAAGTCATGCCAATCGTAATTATTCCAAGCAGAACCTCTAACCTAATACCGTTCCGTCTTAAATGACAATTTTACTATTTTTGTCAAGTAAAATAACATAACCTTTGTGCTAAACGTCTACTTAAATATTGTTTAGTATTATGAAAATATGTCATGTTGATATTAAAATACGTAAATTATTTCTGAATTCAATGGATAGGTAATAATATCGTTTAGTGGATAATCTAGGTATGTAGCATAGTTAAATAGCACCCTGGGCGTGGATACATAAGTCGCCTCTGTGTATATTATCTCACATCTTACTGATAATATCGCGTCTGGACTCCTCTGTTACTTAACATCAAGGCCCTATTTCATGTCACTGACGAAAGCCGACGGACGGTTTGTTGTGGGGTAAACTATTTATTGCATCGATTTCATTAATAAAATGTTCAATACTGGCTTAACTTATGCGGACTTTTTCTTTGAACGCAAAATCAGTGATATCAAAAGAGGAATTTATTCGTTCTTTATAAATCCCCCCGTGTAAGAACTCATTCTTTCAAACCATCGCGAAGAGCCATTTTGTAACTAACAACGAAAACCCTACAATTGTAACCCAAATCTGATACAGTTCCGATTTCATGTCACGAATTACCGACAATTTATCAAAAATTACAAATTTTAAAAAAATGTCCTTGTTTCATAACATTATTAAAGTTTTGCTACCACGGCGCTGATGGCCGCGTCGAATTTTTTCCTAGCCTTAAGCTGCAAGGAAAAATGTTACAAAATGCCTGTCTTTTTTATTATGAAATATGTCAGTGACATATGTCGATTTGGTGAAATAGGGCCCTGGTGAGGAGAAGTTATTTGTCGAACCTATTTATAAAAAAAAGTGGCGGTGGCACTCCAAGAGTGCCGTCAGAATTGAAAAGTCAAATAACAAAAAAAATACAGATTGGGTACCTAATAATTATAATTAAATTATACCACAGCACAGTAAGTTCATCAGAGGGTGAAAGCAACTAACGCACGCCAGCAATTTCACTTCTCGAAAAAACAAACAAAGAGAGAACTAAACAAAATTTAAATAAACTTAAATAAAAACAATCAAAGAAAATTGTACTAGAAAAAATTCCACGCCGACCAGGCAGCAGACGGGACTCGAACTCGCACCCTTCGCTATCCGGGCGAATGCACTGACCATTATGCTACCGCGGCCCTTATAGCCGTCTAATCTAGCAGTTAAGTGCTTAAAATTATAAACAAACCAGTTTCATATCAACCATTATTTTCTTTCTGAAAACCAAGGATAATTATATCGTCTGCTGCTGATAATTATACCTTGACGGTAACAATCTTCAATTTTACTTGAAAATGGCAAAATCGTGGGTATGACCAAGTTATTGGAGATATCCATACTAACTTATTTACTACTTATTATTACAAATTAGCGATTTCATCCGTGTTAACTTTAGTTTCTTGAGAGTCCCTCAGGAACCTAAATTTTTTTGGGACATAAAGTATCGTGTCTTAATCCAGGTCATAAATTAAATATGAACATATGAACTTTTACATTTAGTAATATAAGGAGGATGCGAAAAAGTGTGTTTATATGCCTTTGTGTTGCCTTTCACGCTTTAACCGCTGAACTGATTTAGATATATTTTTTTAAGAAGATAGTTGAAGTGTCGGGGTGAGGACATAGGATAGTTTTTTTCCCAGAAATCATCCTTAATTGATGGGGGGACCTAGGAGGTGATAATTTGTATGGAGAGCCAATTTTTCCCCGCAGACGAAGATTTGAATATTTCTATACATAGGTATTTATTACATATTGTTCTCATTTCTAGTAATGATGTAGAATATTATTATGTAAGTGTATCTTACATTTTAATATGTAAAACCTTATTTAATAAAATAATCACAACTTCACGGCCGTTGCAACCTTGCAAAGCTGTGATGGCATAACAATTTGTTGCCAATTTGGGTATTCTGATTAACTACGGAAACCAGGAGCTGTAAGTTAGCTAACGCGTCCTTGATGTTATAGTTCTTGCTGCCATATGACATAACAACTCAACAGAGATTATAGTACAAATTCGAGAATTGTGATGGGCACAACATTGTTCTACGGCGGTGCTCCATAACCACGTGTGGTGTTAGTAAATAGAACAGTAGTGGGGACCCAGGGGATGTCGAAAATGGTACGAGAATAAAACTCATTGGCCACGGCTTTCACTTCAAACAATATGAATCGCGCGCCCGTCAAGCCGAACGAACTCGCGCCTATCCACTACTGAATCTGCCGAGCCGCGGACGCGGTTAAATTTGAATTTCAAAAGACGATTTGCATATTAAATTTCCAAATTCAAAATTTGATTTTAAATTATAATTTCTATAAATTGTGAACGCAAACTTGTGTATTTTGTGAAAAAAAAAACATTATGGATTGTTGTTTATTTTGATTTTGATGATTTTACTTTGATATAACGAGGATTTAGACTATATCTCTGAGAAAAGAAAATAAACAATTAAATAATTAAAATGGCATGCATTAGGTCGCTTTTTATTTTATGTTTGGTTGTTATCTGCCGCAACTGTGAAGCTGCGGAAAATGACAACACAATCACAACACGTGAGTACATTTTACTTTGATATTATTTATTCATTTTACAAAACATCATTGTTTGTATATGAAAAAATTAATAGTTTTATGAAATATCCTACTTATAGAACGTGTTGTTTCATCTATAGTTAATTTTGACCTTACTTAAAAAAGTAGAGAAATAAATAACCATTTTGTGTTTTTACATATTTAATATGTATTTGCCGTGACAATCACTATAACCAAATTTAACTCTAGATTTAACAACGCGGTTAAACACACGCAAAACAATTTCACTGTAGATATTATCAATCATTTACGTATTGTTTCATAGAGTTTTTGACATTAATATTGTCGTCATTGCTCATGAGATTATGTACTGCAGTGTAAACTCACTTTTCAGTATCCGTAGTGTGATTTGAAATAAGAATACGAATTTCAAATAAATTTTAAATCACACCAACCACAAAAGTGAGTTTGTTCTTACAGAATAGCACTGCTGATAATACATTCAACATTACGAACACATGAGACGAGTGTCCCAACAGTTGAATGTCAAGATTCCATTTATGACGTTGGGCAAATATTTATTGTAGTCAATTCAAAAAGACGCCATTGGGTAATATTCAACCAAACATCAGGCAGCAGTGCGAAATTTGTTCTCTGTTGAAACTGTGAGGCAACGGAGTTTCGTGACGAAACAGCCTTAGATTACTGCTAGATAGATTATGTGCAGTGAGTCACTTAACAAAGTCATAACTTATGAACGAATATGTAATACGTTACTTTAACTTTTAAGTACTGTACAAGTTTAACTACAGTCAAAACAACTCGGGAAATTACAGAATTCCAAAATTTACAAGCCGGCAGCGTATTTCCTAAATGCTGCTAGGCTTTATTATTTCACGGGTGAAATATACTTTTTCTAGGAGAAGCATGCTAGATCTTAGGTCGTGTTATCGCTTTCAAACAAGTCAGGTGGAATCTAGTTGGTCGAATAGAGAAGAGGTTAGAACAGTCGATTTCTCACTAGAATTGGCACAACTAACTATCCTCTTGTGTTCCTTCAGGAAAGTTCCCAGAGATAGATGAGAAATGATTTTATAATAAAAACTATGATACATTTAATAATAAAAATTAATGATAACTTAATAGGTTACAAAAAACATGGAAAATTTTAGATTCTTTTATTTTCGATTTATTAGGTAACTTTGACCCTTTCTAAACCACCCCTGGAACTCGGAAATTTCAAAAATTGGATCAGATATCAAATTTGGTTTCAGGAAAAAAAAAGATTGAAAAATGGGCACTTTAGATTTTTTCTCTACTTCAATGCGACAGTAAACTATCAAACACAATAAGGGCATAGACCAATCGTAAGGGGGACAAACTTTTAACAGCAAATCAATATTGCATTCGGTACTACGGGTCCTAAACTGCGCCACAAAACATTCATTATTAGTAGATAATTTTTCACGGAAGGTTTATAATATGTATAATACAAGCCTGAGAACAAAAACTATAGCCTACAACGAAGCGAAGCGAGGGTTGGACACTAGTAGGTAATAAGAAGATTCCGCCGTTATAAGTGAAGGACTGATAAGTATCATAACTCGAAGATTGTTACAGTAATTTATGTTATTTACGGGATTGCTACTATGGAAATTATTTTTAGTGAGTCTCGAATATTCTCCGTGATCATGGGAGTTTGCAACAATAAATTATTATTATGTTAGTGACCACGAAAGTTTAAAACAATATACAGAAGATTCCTTAGTAGGGATACCAATAGCAGCTTCATAGAGATTGCACTTATCACATTTGTGTGACTCCAGTAAAAATGTAGACTGTTTAAAAGCAAATTTACTAAAAGGCAAAGCATTTCATTAGCATTTCTGATTTTTGCTGTAAATTTGTATTCAGAGTCATTAATGTTTCAGTGAAACATAATTCAATCTTTCTTTGCTTTCTTAAACTCAAATGCGTAGTAACGCATTTGTTCTCTAGATCAATGAAATGAAATTGTACTTAAATAAAATTCGAACTTATTTAAAGCTCATTCGAATCATTTGATATTTTTATACCACCCATTAGTATGGAGTAAGTAGCTTTGTAATCGATTTAATCAAATTCTAGCAGAGCATTATAATTTCATCCGCCACTCCCTGATTTATGTTAGTTAGTAATTGATTTAAAAATAACACTTTGTTTTTCTTAGTGCTTTGTTCATATAACGCGATATTTCTAAAGTCATCGAGTCTTTTTTCTCGTTCACGCTTATCCACTAATCTTTAACAATTTCATACTGCCATGTAGGTCACGTTTCCTTTGTAGACCATCAAATTTACGTTTATTCGTGTTAAGGACATTCTACACTTCATTGTTAATAACAGGTACTTCAACTAATTACATTTCAGATAATGTATGGGTAATTTTCATTTGATAGATAATTTCTATTTTCATCTCTAGTCATCATCATCAGCCTATTAATGTCCCCACTGCTGGGGCACAGGCCTTCCCTATGGATGGATAGGGAGATTGGGCCATGACTCACCACGCGGGCCCAGTGCGGATTGGTGAGTGCTAACGACAGCAGATGCAGCCGGGACCCACGGCTTAACGTGCCTTCCGAAGCACGGAGGAGCTCGAGATAGTAATATTTGGTCACCCATTCAATGACCGACCACTGCGAAAGTTGCTTAAGTTCAACGATCGCAGCCGAACGCGCTAACCACTTGCGCCATCGAGCTCCTCATCATCATCTCTAGTAGCTTTTACTTTTTAGGCTCTTACCTTGTGTTAGGTTTCCAAGACATGTGATTATTACATTATTTATTTAGATTATTTATATAAACAAGAAAATTAAGTTCACCACCTATTTAAGTGATGCGACTAATACTAAGGTAACAAAAGCGCTTTGTGATGCGGGAAACGGTATTAAATTTTATTATTAAATATTAAATACACTGACCCCATTTGGAACTAAATTTCCGTGCTTATCACAGCATCAGTAAGGAAATATATATATAGGAGATAACCCGGTTATGATTTCACGATTAAATCACGTAAATTATACACATATATAATTACCTTAAATCAAAAGAAGAAACAAGCATAGGATTAAGAGGAAGTCATGAAATATATTCCATGTATCTATAAACGATTATTAAATGAAATATAGTAGTTGGTCTATTACAAAAGGTAGATACAGTTTATAATAATATTATTACTGAGACGACGATGTTGAATATAATTTGTTAACGTAAATTTAATTTATATTAAGAGATGTTTGTGCCGTTACAAGTTACAATGTACCTAGATACAAAATTTTCAAGGTAGCTTAATAACACTTTTATCAGAAAGCTTAGTGGAATTACTATCTTCAACTGCAACCGCTTACAAATATTTTTTAAAACCAAGTTTCATTAAAAAAATAAATGTAACTGTTTATTTATTTGTGAGTAGTGACACCTCTTCATCTTTATGTTTAAAATGTCATATTTCGTTCTTTGTCGTGCAAAGGATAATGTGCTTGTCTCTCATTTCAAATTTCATTATTTTCCATGACATTTAAATTATTAATTATTATTATTATAAAAAAAAAATGGGTGCGTGTACTTATGTAGGCGCGTGAGAAGTTATCCTTCTTTGGCATCGTTTAAAATTAGTTTTTAATTGCATGCAAATAATTAATTACAATAAATCAATAAAAAGTCTGGAAAAGGACACAGTCAATAAAGTTCAGTTCTAATTTGAAAAAATAAATAAATAATCAAAATATTCAATTAAAATCGCTACTGAATATAATTTATTAGAACATATGTGATTTGCACTTGTATGAAACTCAAACACGTAATCCGAATATACAAACTAGAAACATGTGGTCGCTAAAGCGACCAACTTCATGCTGTTAAAATTTTGTGTTACAGTGATGCGCGCGCATCTTAAAATTTCACTCTCATCATTTTTTCATAACGCGCCTAAAGAAGTATAACTTCAATAAAAATATCAAAGTAAGCTTTGCGCGCCGGCGGGATACTTGAACAGATGTTAAGTAATATTTTTTTCTTCCCTCTGCTCAAACTTAAATTTACCTTGCTATAGCATAAAAAGGTTCAAATGTTTGAAATCGTAATCAGCCATTATACAACTAGGCGTAATTAGCAAACAATTATGTAATTCGTTGCTCAAACGAGATCCATCTAAATAAGCCACTTGAATCCACCGTCGAGTTGCGTCAATCTAAGAGTGCGTTATTTTACTCTCAAATAATAGCTATAAAACTACAGAACGGAAAACAAAATTACAACTGTTGTTTTTATAGAGATGTTGTAGCGCCATGCATGTTTAATTAAAATCATATCGTTCTCTGCCCAAAAGCATCACTGAACTTGCTCAACTTGCTTTGTAACTAAGCTTAGATTTTAACAAAATAGTAGCAAATGCCTTTTTATTTGAAACCTATTTACTCTTAATTATTAAATCTTACGTGACTTTAAAATAAATCTATTGTAAATGTTAATTTTCGGCAGTAAACACAACACACCAGTATCGTGGTTTTGGGAATTTGTAAAGATCACCAAATACTTAAACACTTATACTACTTTTCCGTCCACATGCAAATTGATCAGAACATTACTTCTACTGTATAAAAATTGATGATACGAATAATTTTAATACCCTTTTTTATTATTAGAGATGTAATTTTCAATAACTTCAACATTTTATGGTAACCATAAGTTTGCCAATATTTACATTTCTGAGTTCAGAAGAAGAAGGCAGCTATTATACAATTTGCTTCAGTCAATGTTTTAAAATACCCTTTTATTTAAATGGAAGATGAGAGTACTTTTTTTACCATTTATTTATTCCAATTCGTGGCCATGGACGCTTGACGAAAATTTAAATCTGAACCAAAAATCAATAAACTTAAAGTTTTGCAAAGCAAGACCAAACACTTCGTTAATGTCCTGCAACATGTTTGCTCGGAAAATAGCGAGTGGTAATTTTTCACAGGAAATATGAATACA